CAGGAAGAAGGTGACTTCTTAGGGAGAAGGAACATCATGAGCACTTGTTTCAGGAAGAGAAGTGGTCCAGGTGGATCGGCCTGTTGGATGCAAGTAGGCAATTATTAGGATTAGAGGCCAAAACTAAGCCAGGCTTTGATTTTGGATGCTAATTTGAACAAAATGTATTTAATTTGGCAGCCATTTGTTTTCAGTGTAATAACTTGATCTAAGTGTGATTTAGTAAAATTAATCAGAAATCTTGATTTGAATAAAATGGTTTCAGAAGAAATTTATATGATTAACTGTGAGAGATTTGATAGAGGACACTAAAAATGCCCATTATTTTAACTTTGGCTGAGTATTACCTCCATTTTTCACAGATTGAGGGATATGTGAATGAATTTGGCTTTCACCCTATCGAGTTTGAATCCCCAGGTATTTCTCTACATAGTTTATCTAGTAGAAAATTGAAAATAAGGAGCAGGAAGTCCAGAGATTAGAGATTATTTAAATGATTAGAGATCATTGTTGTAAAGGTTGTTAAATGCCAAGCTAAAGGTCTATATTTCCTTGGCAATGCTTTACTGCAAAGCTGTATGACGTCCATGTAGTGTATGATTAACTCTGTGCTACAATTATTTTCAGTGATTTCATCTTGTTTTTGCTTCATGCACTGGCTCTAGCTGACAATGCTTGGGTGTGCAGCAGCTGGTGGAGATGGTCTTGTTACACAACCCATGTATTCTTTCTTTCCTTCCTTCCTTTATTATACAATCAATAGTAAGTGACTAATGTGCTCAACAATATGCCAACTATGGTGTGATACAGAGACGAATGAAATAGAGTTCTTGCCCTCAAGGGTTGAGCAATAGGAAGTCATGGCTGATAAATCTGGGTTTGGAATCACCATTTCAAATTTTCGATTATGTTGATGAATTTGTGGTCAAGGCTCACTTTGAAATCAGAAATAATCAGTTAGCAAATTGATTTATTTAAAAAAAAACATTTGAGAGCCATTTGGCAAGTGATTACAAGACAGAATTATTTCTGAGTCTGCATTTATGAGAAATAGGAATCATACTTAGCAATAATTGCCCTTCTGTGAACAGTCATTTTCTTTTGCAACTTGGCATCTAAAACAAATTGGACAATGTTACTTGTTTATAATAAAATTGAAGTTTTTTACTATTTAAATTACATGTCTAATTCTTGAACTGGACATGCTACTGTCTAAATTTGTTTTAGTACATCACATTCAATTTATTTCATTTGTAATGTGGAAACTGGCTTCCATATCACCAAGTATTTATTAGTGCTTCTTTCCTTTCCTGTGTAGGTAATGTTCCCCACTCCGTGGCCCACTTTCCCCCTCTTCCAAGCACATGATATTGTGTCCAAGGTCTGAAAGGACACTGTTGGCAAAGGCTTGTATCCAGCAAACTGCCCCCTCCCTTCCCTTCCCAGGCCTCCACACCCATTTGAGTCTGTTCTCAATTTCCCATTTGTCCTGGTGACCCATAAAAAGGCAGCGCTAGTGTGGGAGGCAACCAATCGATGTGAGAGAGATGTTTCTCTCTCTCTCTTTCTCCCCCTTCCATCCTCTCTTCCACTCTCTCTAAAAATAATAATAATCAATGGAAAAATGTCCTCTAGGAGGATTAACAACAACCAAAAAAAGAATAAAGGAATTGGTTGTCACAGAATAGTCATGAGGATGTACTAGTAAAGTACAGCATAGAGAATATAGTCAATAATATTCTAAAGACTAGGCGAGGTGCTGGATGAGTACAGGATTTATGGGGGTGGTCACTTATTAAGTTATGTAATGTCTGGTCACTGGGTTGTATGCCTGAAACTAATATAATAGTGTATGTCAACTGTAATTGAAAATAAAAATGATTTAAAAAAAGGCAGCTCTAGGTGGAGAAAGCTGAGAAAGGGAAGTCTGCAATGACTGTGTTCTCCTGTAACCTTTCTCCCCCACATGCAAATGCCTCATTGCCTTTTCCCCTCCCTCACCAGGGACTGAATTGGGGGCTTTGGGTGGAGCCCCACAGGACAGAGAAGGTGGGTGGGTCAACAGGCAGACAAATACTGGCTTAATGGGCACAAAGGTCCTGGGTTCAAGGATTCTAGCACTTTTCCCCAACCCAGCCCTAAACCAATGACCGCTGGGTGGGTGGGATAGGTGGCTTATCAAACTTCACTATATTCTCAGGGCACTAGGACCTGGCCTTGGGCAGACGATAGGAATAGGATCCTTGCTTACCCTTTAGTTTTGAGAGTGGTCGTACACCACCCACAGAGACACCCAGGCACCCCACTCTGCACCTAAGCTTCTCCCTTATTCTCACCCCTCTCCTCTCTCTCTCTCTCTCTCTCTCTCTCTCTCTCTCTCTCTCTCTCTCCTCCCTGTATCCTCTAGCCCACTGAACCAGGGACAGGTAGAGAGAAGCACACACAACAGACTCTGAAGCTAGTGGGTGACCCCCACATACACCTGGGACACTAAGTGCCCAGACACCCAGGCCCTAGGCCACCAGGTCTCTGGCTTGCCATGGGACTTTGCATAAGCCCAGGCCTCTGTTCCCAATGTACAGACTGAACTAACTGATATTCAGGATGGCTCCCAGCTCACTCATGTCAGAGTTCTTTGTTGTGGGATCAGGATGGACTGTGCCTTCTGTGGCCCTTCTTCAGGGTGACTGTGCAGAGCCCTTCAACTCCCTGGAACTTTGCCAGGTGGAATGAGGGGGTGTGGTAGGACAGACAGTGGGCTTCTGCATCTGGGAGTGGGTCTGAATCTGGCCTCTGTCACTACAGGGCTGTATGGCCCTGCGTGATTTCCTTTGCCACTTTGAGCTTTGTTCCCCCTCCCCCCAACCCCCACCTCCATCAGTAAAATGCACATAATACCCGCCTCACAGGTGTGGCATAAGCCGACCTGGAAACACTTTGTTAAAAGCCCAGCAGGCAGTAGTGAGTGGGTAAATAAACACTACTTCCGATGGGGGTTGACAGAGAAAGTATTTGCAATACTTGGGACACACATACAGTAACAAAATTTTTTGTTGATTACCTGAGATTCAGACTGTATTTTATTTCGAATCCCACTACATATCTGCTATGTTGGGAGGGTCTCTAGAGTCCAGAGTAGGGGCTGCACACACTGTCCAGAGGTCAAATCCTGCCCACAGCTCCATTTTGGTCTTAGCCTGTGAGCTAAGAATGGACTTCACATCTTTAAATGGCTGGAAAAAGAAGCAGCAAAGGAGGGAGAAGATGGGGGAGGAAGAGGGAGGGGGGAGGGGAAGGGGGAGGGGCAGGAGACTCTATACCTGCACTTGCAAAACCTAAAATATTTACCTTTATTATCTTGGCCCTTTACAAAAAGAGTTTGCTGACCCAAAGTTGGTGAGGGGACTAAACGTTTTCAATATTTGTATACCTATTCAGGGCCAGGTGGGAGAATAAACTAGAAAAGCTAAGTCCCCAGCAGGAGCAGGCACCGAAAAGGGTGGGGAAAGGCTGACAGGAAAAGCCCTGTGAATTAAGGGTCCCTCAACCCCAAAAGGCCTCCTTGACTCCTCCGCCTCCCTCACTGCCTGCAGTCTCTCAGCCTAGTCTGCCCATCCAGGTCTTTCTATAAATGGTCACCAGGTGTCCCAAAGTCCAAGGGTGCTCTCTCCAGGCTCTTTGAATGCCTCCCCTTTCTGAACTGACCAGGGATCTGGGAGAGAATTTCTGCAAAGCCCCAGAGGGCAGGCAGGTCTGCTGGCCTGTCTCTTTAAATTTTAGGTAATTTAGGAGGAGGGAGGGAATTTCTCTGCACAGCTCCCCAGGAGCTCCTGCCTGAGGGGCCCAGTGAGGGAGTCCCAGCTCTGCCAAATGGAACAAACTCTGAGGCCTCTCTGCAGTCTGGCTGGGGTACCTCCTGTGTGGGCCAGGGTAGGAGTGGGAGCGCTACAGGGACTGGGCAGGCCGGCCATTGGGTAGGCCCAGGTGGCCCTAAGGCTGAGTCCAGTGAGGGTCTGGTCTTGGCCTCAGCCCCACAGGGAGCCCACCCTACAGGACATGGATTTGTTGCTGCCCAAGAAGGGGCTCATTCTCTGCCTGTGGAGAAAGTTCCATACATGGACGTCCCAGAGAGAGGAGTTATGGGCTCAGAGCAAAGATGAGCAAAACATGCTGTTTCAGAAGTAAGCCTGAATCTGCTGCCCCTGCTCACTTCCAGGTGTGTCCCTCACCCCCTTTCTGACCTCCCTCTCCCCCCTCTCTCTCCCCCCCTCATCCCCCTCCCTCCTTCCCCATCATCTCTGTCTGTACAGACTGTGCTTCCAGGCCTGGCTCCTTGGGAGCATGTTGTCTCAAGAGTCTTCGCCTGTGGAGCCCCAGAATGCCAGGTGGGTGGGGGGATTCTAGAAGGAGGCGCTTGCTATCTGTAAGATCCAATTCAATCATGCATGACCCTTGAACAATGTGGGACTTAAGGACACCAAGGTTGTGCAGCCAAAAATGCACGCATATGCAGATTCCCAACCTCCAGTTGACCCGTGAACAATGTGGATTTCAGCTGTGAGGTTCAATTAAGCTGCGCTGGTCAATTGAACTGAGTGGGTCAATTGAAAAAGATCCACATTAGCCGGGTTTTCTCAGTGGTTAGAGCATCAGACCGAAGGGTCATGGGTTGGGTTCCCAGTCAAGGGCTCCTATCTCAGTTGTAGGTTCAATCCCCAGCTCCAGTCAGAGTTTTCGTAGGGGAGGCAACCAATCCATGTGTCGCTCTTATATTAATGTTTCTCTCTCTTTCTTCCCTCCTCCTCTCTCCTTTCCACTCTCTAAACATCAATGGAAAAATATCCTCGGGTGAGGATTAAAAAAAAAATCCACTTCTAAGTGAACCCATGCAGTTCAAACCCAGATTGTTCAAGAACTGACTGTACTTCCCTAAAGGCCAAAAGGCCAGGCACCTTGTTGGGCCTAAGAAGGATTGTAGCATCACTGAACCTTCATCAGAGACATGCTTTATAGCTCAGAACAATGCCTTCTAGCACTACTCCCTGCCCTTCAAACAGTCTTTCTGGGAGTCAAACAGGGCATATATTATATATACATGTGAGAGTGAATGAACGAATGAATGAATGAATGAATGAATGAAACAGAGAGTATCTGCAGACTCTAGTAACCTCAAAAGAAGAGAAAAATGTGATCATGATTATAATTCCTATGTATTGATTGCATTATCCATTGACCTCTGTCCTGCTACATGTGGGACCCTGGGAATGGGAGGGTACGAAGAGAAACAAAGTTGAGACGTAGCCTGGAATTTGTTGCTCTCTATTGGGGAAGAAAGGCATGGGCAACTGGCCAAAATATATGTAGGATCCATGCTTACACTCTCTCTCATCTCTCTCATCAGATTGTGGAATTGGAGAGGTACTAGAGTTTGAGCCCTGAGGAAATCTCAATTGTTGCTCCAGCCCCTGAAAATGTCCCTAAATTCATCTGATGCTCTCCACCCTTCCAAATCCCCACCACTCCAGCAGCTTAGAGGTGGAGGCTGGACAGGAGGGGACATGGAAGAAGCTTGAAGCCATCTCTGTGTGTGGCCTCCTCTTCAAAATCTCTGTGGATTGCCTCACCAGGAGGTGGCACACCTGAAGGATGTCCTGTTAGGGTTCCCCTGGGCTCCTAAAAGGCAGATAATATATCTATTCTTAGGGGAAAGCCTAAAGTTATTATGTCTGAGGGTCTTTCTCCATCTACAAATGGAAGGGCTTGCCTGCTCCTAACCAGGAGGGAGGAGGCTGAGGTCACCTGGAGCCCCTGTGTGATTTTTTTTTCTTTTGCTCAAGGATTTTGGACCGGGAATGTGCTCATTTTTGGCTTCCCATCTCTCACATCAGCCACCCACCTCTGTCCCCCAGGCCTGGGAGAGGGAAGGCTGAGCACATATTTGGTTGATGATGTCTTGATGCAACAGAATGGTGTTGTAGACTCAGGCATAAGTGGTTCCACTCTTCCAACTCTTAGGACCCCAGGACTGGGGAGCCAGGTACAGAGTGGAATGGATGGACGAAATCCTCTGTATGTCCAAGTGAGGTGAAGACAGAGCGAAGGACCACAGCCTGGCTGAGAGGGGGCTGCTTCCGCCTGCCTTTTGACTTGCTCTTGTACCTTGGGCTAGAAATTCGTGATGTCACCACTTTGAGGGATTCCCCTCCATTTCCTGATCTCCCTGCCTGATCCCACAGGTACTTGGCCCATTTCTTTCTGAACCCCTGGAGCCTGCAGTATTGATTACCCACTGGGTGGAAGGACCCTGAAATAACCAGGGAGTGGAGTGGCCTAGGCTGTACCATCAGCCAGCCTAAGGAAGACACAAGTAATTAGATAAATATGAGATGACCATGAACATGGGGACAATATGGTCAGGTCAGGGGGCAAGATGATGGAAAAAAAATAACAAACAATGTTACCAGCACTGATCTTCTCTCACATTGGTAGGTAGGAAGTTAGACTTGAGCAGTTGGAATGGGGCCTGCCCTGGGGTCCTGAGCAAGGGCTGGACCAACACTGCCTTCAGACAGCCTCTCTATGAATGGCCCAGCAGACGGCCAGCAGGCAGGTTCAGAGCCAGCCAGTTCTGGGTGCGAGCTCAGAGGAAAATGACATGACCTCAATGCCAATGTGACCTTCTAGGGCCCTGGACTAATTATAATGAAATTTGCATTTCAGTTTTGACCCCGCCTTTCCATAGGTTTTCTGTATACATTTGGGGTAAGGGCATGCCCAGAAGAAATGTAGTTTCTGTCAATCATCCCTGAGTGCAAATGAAAGTCTCCACCCAGAAAATCCCTCTTTAAAACCCAAGAGCTGGGGGCCATGCACTCTCACCATTCTCTCTCTCTCTCTCTCTCTTGCACATGCTCTACCTCCAAGGAGCACACCCATGTCATTCCTGTTCCTCTTCCCTTCTCACACAGCCACACATCCCCCAACCTCTAAGGGACCACATGAGACTGGCAAGCAGGGGAGAAATGGGCAACGAGAGCTCATCCTGGGCTAACCCCCAAACCTGGCTCCAAGGCCTTCTTTTTGTCTGACTGCCCAGTGCGCTAAAGCAGCCCACCATCATCCCTCTCACTGCCCCACTCCTCACTCGGAAGGTAAGCAGCTTGGCCATGTTTGTCCCACACTCTCCACTGGCCCACTCCTTGTTTGGAATGTATCTTCAATAATGTAAACCGCATTATGCTTTACCTTTATTTTCGTTGACCTTAAAATCTTTTCTGCATCAGTTAAAAGAATTGAGGTCCCAGCTGGTACCCTCAATCGGTAATATAATTCCTAACCCAGCTGTGAGAGGGGGGGCCTTTATCCCCTGTGAAGAAGATAGGCCCAGAGAGAGCAAGGGATTTGTGCCTAGAGCTCAGAGGGGGATTCAGGGTGGGGATGGGGGGGATTCTAGGAGGTGGGGCATGGTCCAGTGAAAAGGGAAGACTTATGGTCTCTCCAGGATGATAGGGAACCCAGTGTTCCTCTCCCTAATTATCTTTACTCTGCTAATAAACTGGAACCGCTAAGCATTCCTCTGTAGGCTACTTCAGTGGTACATTGCATTAGCCAAACATAAGAAATATTGCTAAATTCAATTAAAAAAAATTGCCAGACTAAAATTTGGGGAGAGAATTATGTTAAATAGAGAAATAAGTACTAAAGACAAAGGGAGTGTATATAAAATACTGTGATTAGCTCGGCCACGTCACACAGGTAGGAAAAGGACAGACAACTTACCTGAAGCACAGGAACTTCTCCGAAGGAAAAATGAGGTTCTGACAACAGAAGTGGAGGGAATGAATAACAAAGAGAGAAAAAAATAACGATGGGAAACTGTAATCCAAGTGAGTACATGAGTACCATGGGGTTGTGATCTAGTACAAAAAAATAAGAAAATGCTGTGATTTATGGTAGAGACTGCTAGATATTGCTGAGAAAAAAAATGTTTTGGGAGGAAGAGTTTGTTGTCTGTTTGTATTAGAGTCCACATATAAGTGATAGCATGCAGTATTTATCTTTCTCTGTCTGGCTTATTTTTTAAGCCTAAAGCCCTCCAGTTTCATCCATGTTATTGCAAATGATAGAATTTCCTTCTTTTTAAGGTTGCATATTACTCCATTGTCTATATAACTTTTTTTTTTTTAATCCATTTGTCTGTCGGCAGACACTTGGGTTTTTTCCAGACCTTGGCTATAGTAAATAATGCTGCAATGAACATGAGAGTGCAGATATCTATTCAAATAGTGATCATGTTTCCTACTCAGAATTGGAAGGAAGGATGTTTATGACACCAATTGACATGTGTAAAAGATGTAGGGATGAAAAACCCTAATCACCTAGAAAGAAAGGGGACCATACAATATTTGACAGGACCACTGTTCAAGTTCACACATAGTTTAAAATTATGGCATTTCAGTGAGCCTGTGTGAATGAAGACATGCTTATTTTCCTGGATTTACGTAGAGTGCAAAGCAGTCTTGCAGAGTTTTTTTATCAACACACACACACACACACACATACATACACACACACATGGTGGAAGTATCATTTTTTATTGTGAAACTGAGGGAAAGGTAAGCTTTATAAGCAGCATGAAGGCTCACTAGGATTTTTGATCTGAAGTTAGAACAGTTTTGAAAGAAATATAAGGCCTCTGAGTCTTCACTCGATATACTGTGTAAGATTAATTTTCATGGCATTGATGAAGTGGCAATGACACAGTGGGCAGAGTTGGTTGACTTGTTAAGATGGCTCTTGGAGCTACAGAAATTGGACACCGGACCTAGAAGAAGAACATGGTAACTCTAAAAGAGTAGAAGAACAACATTAATAAAGAGAAAAACCAAGATGGAGAAGAAAAGCAGTCAACTCACAAATAAAATCAAAAGATTGTTGTTTAAAAAACTATTAGTCCAGGAGTGTGGCTCAGTTGTTGAGCATAGACCATGAACCAGGAGGTCATGGTTCAATTCCCAGTCAGGGCACATGGCCCAGTTTTGGGGTCGATCCCCAGTAGGGGGCTTGCAGGAGGCTGCTGATCAATGATTCTCTCTCATCATTGATGTTTCTCTGTCTCCTCCCTTCCTCTCTGAAATCAATGAAAATATTAACAAATAAAATACCATTAAAATAAACAGTATTTGGCAAATATGATTCAGATGTTATTGAAATTTAATTTGCTGTTGAAAACAATTAGCAAGCACTGATAGTAATAATAATAAATTATTTTTGAGCATGCCACTTTTACTTGGAAAGTAATAGATTAGGCACAAAACATGATATTAAGTTATTTTCTAATTTGTCACCTTTACCTTTCTTGATTTCCTATGATTGTGTGCATGTGAAAAAAACTTTGGATTTTAAAATTTGAAGAACCCTACGCATAGCAGAAAGAAAAAAGAAAAACAATGTGTAGCTCCTGCCATTACTTGCTTTTAAGAAAGGCTTATTCCTGGAGTTAGTGCTTACCAATAACTCTCTATCTCCTCTATAATCCTCACTAGTGCGACTGTTTAAAAACCATCACTACATTTGTAGTATTTTTATTACTTGTAGTGTTTATTTTTTTTAAAATATATTTTATTGATTTTTTTACAGAGAGGAAGGGAGAGAGATAGAGAGCTAGAAACATCGATGAGAGAGAAACATCGATCAGCTGCCTCCCGCACACCTCCCACTGGGGATGTGCCTGCAACCCAGGTACATGCCCTTGACCGGAATCGAACCTGGGACCTTTCAGTCCGCAGGCCGACGCTCTATCCACTGAGCCAAACCGGTTTTGGCCACTTGTAGTGTTCAAACAAGGATCTCTAAGGGATCATATCACAGGAATTGAAGTAGCAGAGAATATATCCATTAACTTTGATTATTTGGAGTAATTCAGAATAGGTACAGAGTACCATTCCCATGTAAATTTCTTGAGTAATATCTAAATTTCTTAAGTTTCTCTAAGGATTTTGTGTACAAAT